ATCCCTATCCCCTAGTTGACGTCTTTCGAATCTCGGAGATGAGATTCATCTTAAGGGGTAGAATTGTAACACCCAAAAATTTGGATCATTTTAAAATAGGTGAATTTAATTTAATTGTGAATTTTTGGTACCATTTAAACTTAGAAAAGTAATAATTTTCATTCAATTAAAATCAATTATAGGATCTACCTACATGTGTATGCATTCATGCTGCTGCATAATATTTTTGTATTGTGCGGTTTGAAACCAAAATTCAAAAAAAAAGAATTCAAAATTTAGTTGAAAATTTGCTTTGGAGATTGGAAAAGAAAAAGAAAAGGAATTCTCTTTCCTAACTTCACCCTCCCTGGCTTTTGGCCCGAAGGCCCATTTCCTCCTTTCCTTCTCGGACTGTCCCATTTCACTCCGTAGGCCCGCTGTCTTCCGCGGCCTAGCTCCACCCCATCCCGTGGGCCGTTTCCCTCTCCTCTTGGGCCGTCTTGCCTTCACTCGCGTAGCCCAGCTACAGGCAGTAGCCCAAGCCACAACGCCCGTCCTCCCTAGTTCCACTGGCACCTTGGGCCCATTTGTCAGGGCCTTCTCCCACCTCGAGTCGGTGTCGTCCCGGACTCCATCTGCGCAAGGAGTCCGCCTCTGCCCCGTGTCCGCTTGGTTGGTGTGCGCCCCACGCCGCACTGCCCGCATAAATAGGAGCTGCGTCCGCCGCCTTCCCCGTCAACCCTAGAAGCAAGCTGCAGGCCTTGCTCGAACTCGGACAGCACCGTCGCCGCCCTAGCTCGCCGCTGCCGCCATTGATTCGCCGCTCCTCCACCTCCATGACCGCATCCCCGAGGTTCGCTTGTAGGTAAGAAAGCTTCAGCCGCCTCACATGCTCTCCCTCTCGCTTTCTATTTCTCTCCGTGCCTCGCCGAAGTCTTGCCATCGAGCCGATCCGCTAAACCATGTGTGAGCTCGCCACCGTGCCGTCGTAGGGCACTCTGATCCCTCCAATGTGTTCGTCGTGCCTCCCTCTTGCTTCCCGATCTTTTCCCAAGCCAAACGGTGGTCGGAATCGCCTAAACCGATCACACCGACGAGTTCCCCTGCCCCTCCGGCGAGAACGCCGCCGCCTGGGCTCGTCGTCGGCCGGCCACATCTTTTCCCCCTCCCCATCATCTAATCTGAGCCGCTCACTTGAGATCCAACGATCCAAACCACCCCATACCCCTTCGGCTGGAATTTATGCAAAAGAGACCCCCTCCTTTCCCCTAATCTAACCCGTAGTCCAAAGCACGTTTACAAATACGTCTTCTTTATTTTAAAGCGTATTTTTTCAGTTTAGATTCAAAATACGTTTTCATCTATTTATAGTTTTGCCACTATCTTCATCAGGCCATAACTTTCACGTTTTAGCTCCGTTTTGACCCGTTCAAGTTGCGTTAGATTCATAGCAACGAGATCTACATGTTAGTAACAGTGTTTACCATGTCGCTATTTCAGAAATCTCATGGTTTAAATCATATCTTGATTAATGATTATGCATCTGGTTTATAAATAAAATATGATTAATTTTATTTTAGTTTTCTAATTCAAATGAAAATTTGACTCAATTCGATTTAGTTGTGAGGGCTACATGGCTCTAGCTTTAGCTCAGTATGAGGACCATTTCTAGCTTGTTAGAGGTTACCTTTATGGCGCAATAGGGGTATGTTTCGGGTTGGATATAGTGCAGCCTCTGTCCGTAAGTGTATAGGCTGCACATTATTCTGCCTGTCGGAAGGGGAGCTCTACATTCACAGACACAGAAACCTAGCGGCCCTAACTTATTAGACGAACCTTTGAAAGGCATCATAGTGAACCCTGTTGGCCTTCCTCTGCAGAGTGCAAAACTGGTATATCACCCGTGCTCATGGTCATGAGCGGCCTTAGACCCTTACGGAATAGATGATCATGAATGGTTAATGAAGATGAACACTGATGATACTGATGATAAAGATGCTTACTAATGATTACTGTTTATGCTATTCATTATTCATGTTTACCTGATCATGTGTTTATATGGGCATGTGAATAAACTTGTTGCCACCCAATTGGTAAAAGATGACTCATTAAAAGCTAATCGCAGTTAAACCAGTGTCAGCCTTTTGAGCCTCATGAACCCCATGATATATTTGTTGAGTACGACATGTACTTACGCTTGCTTTATTTTTCAATTATTTGGATAAAAATCCCGGATGGGTACCAGATTGCTAGAGTTTGGAGGAATTGGGCTTGTGATCAACAAGTCAGTTGTCCTTGTGGAACTGGAGTCTTCACCCGAAAATCGGAGTTGTCTTTCCGCTGTTTGCTGTCTAAGGTTATATTCTTTATACTAAGTACGTTATATATTAAGTATTGTCAATTGATATTACCCTTATTTGTAGCTATATGTGAGATTTGACTTTCTGGGCTCACATATAGTGTGTATCTGGTTTTGTTCTTAAAACCGGGTGCTACAAAAGAGCAACAAACAGGAATGAGATGTAGTGGGCACATACAAGACCTTCAACAGCGCACCACGACAGAAATGCGGGACGACTGCCAGGGTGCACTACTCCACCATCACTGCCTCGCGCACGCTGCTCCCCTGTCGCTGCAGCGCATGCGCCGTTCCTCCACTAGGGGCCACTGTGGTGCTGAAGGGAAGGAGAAGGGGATGCGACAGCGCCAACGACACCGCAGCCGGTGCTCCACGCGTGGTGGGAGGCTGCCAGGGAGCCGGAGGAGATCTGGGAGTGGCAGATCTGGGACTGGGTCACTGGGAGAGTGGGAGGGAAAGCCAGAGAGTAGCGGGTGGTCGAGCACTCGAGGAGGGTGGTGGCCAGGCTCAAGTGCGGTGTTAGTGGGTGCGGTCTCCAGTGCCCAGACCCAATAAGAAACATCGGACCCAATATGAAACTAACCAGGCGCAGGAATCTTCAAGACCATCCAACGGACAGAGCGTCGCCTGAAACAAACTCAGATTTCAGGCGACTAAACTACGAAGTCTCAAACCTTTTTTGTCTTCCCATTGGATGTCTGCAGCAGCAGTGATCGGCGGCTCTAGGAGACACGGATAAGTAATAGCAGTTCCAAGTGCACAAGAGACGGGAGATCGCCAGTCGCCCTCGGCATGCCAGATCAAAGACGTTGTGGGAGACGTTGGTAGTGCTGAAGGATTGCAGCGGCACCCATCTCTCGATCTGTTTTTTCTTATAATCGGTGGCATCAAAGATGTTACGTGAATGAACTAATGAAGCACCAGCACAATTACTAAGCTACCCTTCTTAACATTAAAGCACTTCTAGTTAGTCTCAACGGTTCATTAATGATCAAAGGGGAGCGTCGGTGCGAAAAATGACCAACTAGTAAATATTTGTCGTTTTGCCGTACGTTGTGATCGGATGTGGCCTAGCACTCAATAATACAGGGTTTATACTGGTTCAGGCAACGTGCCCTATGTCCAGTTTGAGTCGGTCGATAAGTTTATTCCTGAGCCCAGGTGCTTAATGTTTGCAGTGGGGTTACAAACAAATGGGAGTAAGATGGGTGCAAGAGGTCTGGTCGGACTCTGGTCTGAAGGTCCAAGAGTGATGGGAGCTCCTACGTGCGCTGAGTGTTCGAGCGTATGCTCTGTGTAGCTTTAGAGTGTCTAAAGCTAGCAGGGAGTGAATCTGAGTGATCCGTCTGTTGTTCAAATCGATTGTCCCTGTTGGGAGAGAGCATATCCCCTTTTATAGATGAAGTGGATGGCCTTACAAGTGAGAGAGAGATAGAGTGTGAGCTACCAAGTTTTGTTGCCCACGCCGTCGGGTACAAGATGGTTCGTCGGTGCCCACAACATTGTTTTATGTCAGATGCATGTGGGTGGTTTTACTGTATTCACCAGGTATGGCAAATGACGGCGCCCACAATACTGTAGGGCAAACGTCGGCGCCCACAACACTGTTTGGGTTCTGACATGCCTGGAAGGTTGTAGAGCACCCTTCCGACATGTCCTGACAGTACTGTCCTACAGGTGTGCAGGGTACGGTTCTCGGTATTGCGGTTTGACTTGAGCGTCATGCCTTATCTGCTCCGCCTGACTTCTCGGGTCCTCACCGGGCAGGCATCCTCGGTCGGTTTGTTCCCAGTCGGCTCCGACTGCGGCGGGTCGGAGTCGGAAGCCGTCAGCAGAGGTTTGCTATCTCTCCAGTCGGAGAGGCGGGTCGGAGTCGGAGAGGCGAGCGTCGTCTCTCGGCCGGAGAGGCGGGTCGGAGCCGGAGAGGCGAGCGTCGTCTCTCCGGTTGGAGAGGCGGGTCGGTGTCGGAGAGGCGGGTCGGAGTCAGAAGCGAGCCTCGTCTCTTCCTTGGCCCGACCTTCCGGTTGAAGACCGGGTTGCTTCTTCCAGCCTGTCGGAGGTATCTGGGCCGGCCCAGGAGTCGCGCGTCGTTCGCAACGTCGTCTGCTGGGCCGAGCTTTTGCTGGGAAGTAGGCCCATTAGGGACCCCGGGTTTATGAACCCGACAGGGAGGAACCACAGTTTGCCCTCAAGCACCGTAACACATGTCACTAATAATTAACAGAAGAGTCACCGATGTATTCTACTCAAGCTTAAAATAATGCTCCACATGACACAAAAAATTTTGGAGTTACGTTACAAATACCGATCGATCTTAATTTGGAAACAAATACAATAATGAACCATGTGACGGATGAAATCAATGCATAAAAACGAAGACTAGAATTTCTAAAATAAAATGAAGTGTCGTACCAGACAAAACTACGCAAGCAAACCTATCTAGGCATTGTCAGAACTAAAAGCCACATAGCAAATGGAACCACCAGTTTAAGCTCTCTGAAAGACTGAGATAGCTATCAACCAGCGGTGCCGCCTGCCATCCGAGAGGTCGAATTTGCCTTGTTCAATTCCTACATACTCTGTACATACCTAAAAATGGAAAAACATATGATAATTGGTGGTCATACTTATTCTCCACATCATGTACTCACAATGATCTTCATTAGGCTTCTACTATGGCATGGTCGGATGGACGCCTGCTGCACCCCTGAGCCATCCAATCTTGATGAATTCTTTGGATCTGGAGTATGGGACGGTTGGGATGGACGGCTGCTGTGCCCCTGATGTCATCCTCCAAAGCCTCCACCTCATCTGCAACAGCAGTGCTGCAGTTAATATCTATAGCCAGATGTTTGAGCCCTGCCAGGTTCTGCAGCCCAAGGACGAGGCCACCTTCCCCAAACTTGAACTGGAACCGTGCCATCAGGTGCAGTTTGAGCCTTTCAAGCTTTGGCATGGCTCCCGGCTCAAACTCCAATGCCGCGTCCCACCAATAACAGCGCAAATGAAACTTGAGCAAACGCTGAAATCCTTGTGGGTTGATTGCGTTCCATGGGTAGACGATGCCTGAATCTCCCTCTTCGCCATTGGGTAAGACAACAGTAAGAGAGAGCAGCATGGGTAAACTTGCTAGGATATTTATTCCTTCCTTGCCTGCTTCACCACGGACAAAAATGTGGAGGCGGGTCAGGTTGACTAGTGAGCTAATTTGAGGGCCCACCCTATTTAAGTTATGTATATCAAGACCAACAAGCTTTCGAAGTGGTGGTGGAGTAGGGACACACGGAACCATGAATGAACATGTGGCATTAGGATAACTCTGCCACACATGTAGTTCTCGCAGGTGCCTGAACAGCCTGCAGAGCATTGAGATACATGCTTCCTTGTGATCCTTCATATCACGTAATTCAGTAGAGCATGGCCAATCAATTTTAAGTAATTTCAGATTGGTCAGATCACCGAGTCCTTGGATAAACTTTACAGATTGGATACCCAAATTGATACTTGATAGCTCTTCCAACGCCTGCAAACTTCCGATTCCATCAGGTAGGCGCACCGACTCATGGACAAGAAGATGCACTAGCTTCTGCAACTAGATAATACTTGCTGGTAGCTTTTCAAGAAATTGCCATCTCACATTTAGAGTCTCTAGACGTTGCAGCTTTTCTATATCTTCTGGAAGCTTGCTGGCCTTAAATTTGTTGTCTATCCTCAAGAACTTCAACTGACCTAAACTTTTGACATTTCCAAGAGAGCATTCACCAACCTCACCTTCTATATTCAGCACTCGCAAGACTTGGCTGTTTAAGAACTCTGTGGCATGCTTATTAACCAGAACTGAATTTGAGCCAAAGATATTGATGGATCGGATCTGAGCTCCATTTTTTATCATCTTGGCAATCTCTTCCGCCCGGGAAGAAATATCTTTTTGGATGGATAGACGGCGAATCTTGTTTGAAGAAGATTTTTTAGAAAAACCATTACCATTCCATATAGTAACAAAGTTGTCCTCCACGGCCTTTGATACAATGAACTCAAGTATGACATCATGAACTCTGCACTATTTCACTGTTGCGCCGTGTCCCCCAACCTTGGTTGGCTGCACCAAACTTCTATTGATGAGCTCATTCAAGTAACTTCTCCCTAGCTGCTCCATACTTTCCCTGTCCTGTCCAGGAATCAGTCCTTCGGCTACCCATAACAATATCAACTGTTGGCAATCAATCAAAGAATCCTCTGGAAACACACTCAGATATAGCAAACAACTCTTTATATGGTGAGGAAGGTCAAAGTAACTCAGCAGCAGAATTCTTTTCATCTTATCAATGGGAGAATCTTTGTCAACTGCAGCAGCAATAGACCTCAATACATTGACCCAGACTTCCACTACTTTGCTTCTGTTTGCTAATAAACCAGCTATACTGATTATGGCTAGTGGTAAGCCACAACATTTCTTTAAAATATCATCGGATACTTTCCTCAAATCTGGGTGGCAATCATCACCGGACAAAAATAGCCTCTTAAAGAATAATCTTTGGGAGTCCTCATGACTAAGGGGCTTTGCTTGATACATTTGTGCAGCAATACCAATACTACAAGATTTGGCTACTGCTTCAATGCGTGTTGTAGTAATAATTCTGCTTCCATTGTCATTGACAGGTAAGGCAGATCGTACAAGCTCCCATGCTGATACACTCCAGATATCATCAATCAAGATGAAGTACCTGCATACATTGGTTGTGGAATCACGTTATTAATTATGTAAGGCAAACCATGAATTGAAGCGTATTCCAGTGAAGTTAAAGATGTCGGAGAAATGTAAGATGGATCGTAGTGGCACACTTTTTTATCAGTAATTATTACACAAGAGAAATACAGTCTGTAAACTACCATCATTTAAAAAATATGTTACAACCTCCGAAATGGTAAGTACCGCAAGAACACCTAGAGACCCACTCAAAAGACATGACGCATTCAGTTCAAAAACTGAGTTCCAAAATGAGATATTTATGGATATTTAGAATTCTGGTCATATTTTCCAAGAAGTAATTTTACTGAGTATGGATTAGATGGTGTAAAGTAAAATTTTTACCAAAATGATGCACAGTTGACTTGAGTTTGTTCATTGTTGCAACATCTTTAATGATGACATTTGATAGATATGCTGAGCCATTGAAGTATCTGAGGTAATTTTATGCTGTCAAGTTCATTAGGCCAGGAAAAAATGAATCATTTTTTAAAATTCCCAGAAAATTTCATAAATGGCCTAATAATTGGGTGAGCTCATGTGATGAACAAATATTGCACGACATTATTCTAGCTAGATGAACTGGTTAACTATTAGAAAAAGAAATAATATTGATTACCTCTTGTCCTTTAAGCATTCTTTCACTGTGCGGATGAGCTGCTCAACTGTCTCTAACATCTGTGACTGGTCAAAATGGCTCTTGCTTATTTGAGACAATATATCTCTAAGAAGTTTCTTCATATCTGGAGTTTGTGATACAGACACAAAAGCCCGCCTATCAAAAGCAGCTTCAGTGATTTTGTGGTACACCTCCATGGCGAGAGTGGTCTTCCCCTGTCCACCTATCCCATAGATGGACACCACCTTGTGCTCCTTGTCTTCACATCTCAATAAGCTGATGATCTCCTCACGAGGAGCATCGATTCCAACAAGATCCCTGGCCTCCTGAAAGAGTGAAGGTGCTCGAGGATCCAAGAGCACTGGCTGAGATGAAGAGGCGAGGAGACACTGATTGATGTTGTAGTAGCGTTTCCCCCGCTCGCTCTGCTCGCTCACGAGCCTCTTGAGTCGTCGGATCTCCTCTGCTATTCCTCTGTCCTTGAACAACGTTTTCACCATTTGAATGGCCTTGTGCACGAAGTTGGCCGTGGAACCTCCATCTCCATGGCTGTGATTGATGAGCACAAAACGGTCGATGCAATCCTCAATATCGTAGGACAGCTCACGCACCTTGCTCCTCCAGTCTTTGGCGAGTGGATCGATCTGGTCGTCGTCCTTGTCTTCAAGCCTCAGCAGCATGGCTTCCATGGTGCGCAGCTCGTCTCGCAGGGACCGGATCCCTTCCTTGACGTCTCTGGCGAGGTTGTACTTGTCGGTGAGCATGGCGGCCAGCTTGTCGATGACGGAGCCCAACACACCCGTTGCGGCGCTCGAGATCATTTCGGCCATCTTGACTCGCGACTACTGGCTGAGTGAAATGCTAGCTAGCTTGTGGGGTGGCATGAGAGAGGATAGGTGATTCAGTTCTCAGGTTAAAGTGCGGCAAACAACAACGCGTCGCATTCGTTAAATATATAATTCTTCTCTAGATTCGTGAGAACCACTCCAAGGCACGTTGTCGCTGACAGTCCACACGACGGCTTCAGTTCTCGAGAAGATTAATTTAAAGAATGCTTTTGAATTTGTGAAAGGGAGCCCATTTTTTGGCCGATCTCAATGATATGTTTCGTTACACTGTTTCAAAAAATGTTACATCCCTTTATAAGTTTTGGTGGACGAAGAAAATAGCCACCCTCAATGCATATATAGATTCATGACACTAGCTTTATAAACTAGTCTCTCAATAATAAATAGCTACCTACTATTGTAATCAAATATGCCACATAAATAATTTTGGTATGGTGTGTAATAAGCGACCATTTCAGCCATCTTCTCAACTCGGAAGCACTCGCTCTATGTGGGTTGCTGGCTACCATGCGCGGTGGTGTCGGAGATGGTGGCTACCATGCGCTCTATTTCTACGGCTGAGCACGGGGAACGACACGAAGTTTCCTTCCACTTTCCTCCGTAACCATTTTCTTCCGCCAACTCTCTCTCTCTCTCACTCAGTTTTTCTATTTTGGCCAGGCCATCTCAATCCGCAAGCCATGTGACGATAAGAAACAGAAGATAAACATCCCCAACCCTACAACTCAGACGGGCGAAGGCGGGGGCGGCTATGGTCCACCAGACTTTCCTCCGGTCACATCTCGACCCTGCTTCGTCCTGTCCAAGCTGGCACCTCCGGGACGCCAGCCCCTATCGTTGACTTGGCACACCACCGTTTGTGACACCTTCGAAGATTATGTTTGGTGTTGCTCTTGTAGGCTGTTCCACAACGAAGGTACTTGGCGACTGCTGTTGCATGGCAAGGGTGTCTGTCCATGTCGCCAAGGTGGACAAGAGCAGCCCGGTGAAGGTCCCCGGTCAGTCTGTCTACCTTCGGCCATGCTGAGTGATCCCGCATCCAGCGGTACTGTGCTTGGGGCATACCCGATGATGACAGCGGTGATCGGCGTCAGGTGCGCTAATGACACACCTGCCCCCAAATATGCCTTGTGAGGTGTTAAAATTATTACTATATAGTTTGCCTATGTGCCCTTATTTTGTTTAGTCCTGTTTGGATCCTATGGTAAAACTTTAGCCCTGTACTTTTAGCCTTTTTTTCATGGGGATCTAAACAATGAGGCTAAAAGTGAGCAAATGGCTAAAAACTGGGTTAAAATCTTTTGCTCTCAAAGAGGCCCTAAACTGGGCTAAACTCCCTTGGAATGGGTGCTGGACGCCCCATACCTCTTGTCGCTCGCACACATGGCTATGCATGAATAATTAAATGAGGGTAAATCAGTCATTGTAGATTAGAGGACTAAAGTTTTGCCCATAGATCCAAACAGCCCAACAGATCTAAAATTGAGGGGCTAAACTTTAGTCCTTAGACTGAAGATTCAAACACCATCTTAAATAGGACGCCATGTAATAGTGACAAAATAATGAATGCCATTTATTGCCTACGATTATTATTTTGTTTTTGCGCATCAATCATTGGTTTCAATCACTGTTTTGGTCCGCTGTGAAGGGACCTTTGGATCGAAGATTCCAGCCACAACGCGCATCTCCATGGTATGAATAGGCTTTTCTTGTGAAATGTTGAGTAGATCCCCAAGTCAGTTTTATGTCATGTTTAATCCATTATCCGCTAATAGTTAGCTGGCTAATAACTCATATCTAATATTAATTAGCTAACTATCGGCTACCTATTAGTTGGAAGGTGTTTGGATGCACAACTAATGAAAAATACTACTAAGATACTCCCTTTAGGTTGCTAAAAAAGTCATTTTGAACAGCCACACGGTCTCCAAAGCATAACTTTGGCTTCTTATTTTTATAAAAATATTTATTCAAAAGTGATATATGTTTATTTTTATGAAAGTATTTTTCAAGACAAATCTATTCATATGGTTTCCACATTGTCAAACTTAACAACTTAAAAGTTATTCATGATTAAATTCCCAATGTTTGACCAAGTCTTGTCCAAAACGACCTGAATTACCTGTATGGAGTGAGTAACTATTAATTAGCTGCTATTATCTGATTTAGTCCAAGTAGTGAGATAGTTATTATCTAGAGATCGAACTAACAATTAGCTATTTTATTAGCTACACCTATTTGATAAAAAAGGATAACTATTAACTGATAGCTATTATTTATAGGATCGGCCTTAATGAACCGAATCCACCGCCTCCCTCAGTTGGTGTTCCACTATTCATATCTTATTTAAACATCTCATCTTGTACATCTTAATGAGTTTAGCCACAAAAAGCTTATGTTGTTTTATATTATTATTACCACTCTAAATATGAAAAACTTCATAGAAATTGTTGGAAACAAATTTCTTGAAAAATACATGGTCCACGTCGCATCAAAGAAAACGAGTACTACACCTTCTTTGTCCTGCCTCATCTAACGCGCATTTACTAGTCTAACTAACGTATATATACGTACATAAGTCATGCCCATAGAAAGCGAGTCTCCAATGCTGAAAGGAATCCTAATTAACTCCGGGAGTATTTGCAGTTGTAGGAAGACTTGAGAGGCAGGTTATTAGTCGTCGCCACGGCTAGTCCACACCCGAGCGTCTTCAAAAGTCTAGCTTAGAACTGGCTCACGAATTTTTTAATCAATAAATAGTACAAAAGACAAGAAACTAACATGGATTTGAGAGATAGTATCGCACACTTCACGACGTGTTCCTCTCTAACAACACAATGTTCAGGGCAGTCTATCTCTCCGCCATATTTAGTAGCTTAGAACTAGTGCTAGCTTATACCGTTGGAGACGTCCTTAGGGCGCGTTCAACAGAAATCCTAAATTGTCAGCTCATGTGGCAGTGAGAGACACTAAAAAGATAAATTTAAGAGTAAATCTACGCATCACGAGACGAACCAAAGACACAGTGTTCATCGATACATGTGCGAGACTATCAATTTGCACCTCGCTAGTCTATTTCCTTTTTCCATTCTCTTTCTTCCTCCATCGAGAGAATCTTAAGTTTAATAAATATGTATAAATATATGATGACTACAATTTTTCTTTATAGATTTAACATTGCGATCCAACGGCTCACCGATGAAGATATCAGAAATATAGGCATTGACAAGTTGCTATTCATTTTCTGTTGTTTTGATAATGACTACACGCAGTTGAATAAGCCAATGCCAATGCTTGACGGCATGTTTGGTTGGTGGTTGAAAAATATACTGCCTGGACCAGAGAGGCTTCTCAGACGTCCGATTTTAGACCCCTGGAGCCAGGATCTGTTGCCTGGGAGGCCTTTGCCTGCTAGGACTCCAACCAAACAGCCCTTGAATGCGTCAAATACTCAGTTCAATTGCCTTAACGATAGTATTTCTCGGCAGCGGTACCTATGAAAAAATGAGTGCCACAAATATCTCGTATAAAGATCAGAAAAAACTCAGTTTAATTGGGTTGATGACCAGGACGTAACTTGGTCGTCCTCCATCCACAAAAAATGTAATTCTTATTTTTCGATGAAATAACCACTTTGAACTTTGACTAAAATTATACAAAAGATTATTAACATTCATGATACAAATTAAATACCATTAGATTAGTTATAGAATGTATTTTTTATAAGAAATTTATTTAGAGACATAAATGCTAATACTATTTACTATAAACTTTGTCAAACGTGAGCTATTTTGACCGGCACAGATCGCATAATTACATTCTTCAGTGGATGGAGGAAGTATTTCACAAAGGTTTCACCTTGTAATTAAATAATATATGAACCATGACTATTCTTAGGTATCAATAAAGCACGTCGAATGGCATTCCCTCAAAAAAAATCTGAACCTTTCGTATTTAGCTTTGTAAATGTGGATGATTAATCTCTCATCAATCCACCAGTTGTAGGATTTCTATTAAAAGTGGAGACGAATTGGAACCTTTGATAAATACTCGTGTACTCCGACTTGTCAACCCTGCTAGCCCACAGAAAGAGACTTGAATGCTGAAAAGGAACCTTAACCAAGTACTCCTACGTAGTACTATTTTTTATAATGGAGGAAGACGTGAGAGCCGGGTCAGTCATCGCGTCGAACGCTGAAAATGAACCTTAGCCAATGCTGAAAATGAACCTTAGCCAACTTCTCCGACTTTCCAAGAAACAACTTTGACTAAATATATATTTAAAAATATTAATATTTATGGTACATAATTAGTATCATTGGAAAGATATGTGAATCTAGTTTTTTAATAAATTTATTTGGAGATACAAATGTTGCACTTATTTTCTACAAATCGAGTCAAACTTACGGCACGTACACCAATGGTGATAGTTATTTTAGGACGGAGGGAGTAGTACTATTTTGTTTTTACTAATGGAGGAAGACTTGAGAGGCGGGTCGTCACCACCAAGTTATCTTAGAGGTTTCCGTGACCATGACCATCGAGCTCAAGGAATTAATTTCTCGACATGGACACCCTGCCTTTTTTTGGTCAGTTCCGGATGGGCTCTTGGTAACAACAGGTTGTCTTTGGTTTACACCCACCTGGAATATATTGGACTTTTTATGTCTTATTGGTTACAACAAGTAGACTTAAAAAATACAATTCCAAACTAATGTTTGAGTACAATTTATTCTATTTGATCTTGCTGAAACGATGTAGTATTTGATAAAAAAAAATATTCATATTGGCGTTCAATTCTATGGCAATATACTGTTTTGCGCATTTTTTTACCAGTAGGAGGCTATCATGTGCTGCTCTTTTATCAGCAGACCCTGAGTAGTGCCTGTCGTTTTTATGACAATGTGCGACTCTTTCTCACGTAGTTTTTGCTATGGATTTAGAAATAAATCATGTCACGAGTCATAGGAAACAATGTAAGA